TAAAAAAAAAATTCTTATATTCTTAATTAAAACCTCAAAATTTATTTCTCTTAGTATATGAAAAAAAGTATAATTAGACATCAGAGTTTAACTCAGCAGATAAAGAAGAAACTGAATATAATAATATAGAATAATTAAACTTTGTTTAGTTCTTTGACAGTATAAGGCTACAAATTAAGATAATTAGTAATTATAACTATTTAAACATTGATATAGCAATCAACACTATAATTATTTTATATTTAAATAATATGTAAATGTGTAAAATAGTATTAAGAAAAAGAATTATATAAACAGAGCTTTCTTTGAACTTATCTATTAAAAATTTTTTAGTATTTTATCTATATTATTTATATAGCTGATAATCAAAGAACTGTTTTACCTATGTTTAGATTAAAATCTTGATATAATATTAAAATCAATAAATTTTTTACTCTTTTTAAAGTAAGTTTTTTTAAATAGAAAATCTTTGAGAATTTTTATTTATTTTTATTTTGAATCTTTGAGAATACTACTAATATATCAGCAGTAGTTAGCGAATTTAATAGTTTATAAAAATTGAACTGAGATACGATGACTCTGACAAAGAGAATTATGAGATCAAAAAAGCTATTATCAAAGAAAATATTTTTAAAAACAATTGAAGAGGACTCAAAGCAAATATATAAAAAAATTACTGATTTTATAAATAAAATAAAAAGAACTCTAAATCAAATTAGAATAAAATAAAATGATCAGAGAAATCAAATAAGTGAACTTGATTAGTAAGTGAATAACTTGATAGAGAAATAAAATATTTTACAACAAATAATGAATTCTTTAGTCTTATAAATTAAACTGATAAATATTCAATAGATATAATAATCAGTCAAGCTTTATTACCTGAAGCATCTTATAAATGAAAAAGAATTCATAAGAGTCAATTCTTTAATATTAGTTATTTTTCATTGATAACATACTTTGAGTCATTGAGCTTTGCAAATTATTACACTTTTTACATCTCTGCTGATCTGAGTTACAAGATTAAAAAGTTAATAGCTCACTATAGTATATTTCATTTCTCAATTAAACTATTCATTTGCTGATAAAGCTCATTTATTTATTTTTACTTTTCATTTTATTTATTTCTAACTCTGCTTATAGTTTTCTTATATCTTATTTATAAGACTAATAATTTATTAAAATATCTACTTTGAATTCTTCTTAAATGTATAAAAAAATATTTTTATTGATATAAGCTATTTTGATCTTATATTTCTTTCAGTCAAAGTTATTATATTTCAGTTTAATTTTTATAAATTGTCAGATTCTCTCACTGCTTTTGACATATTAGTAATCTTTTCAAAGATTTAAAATAAAAATTATAAGAATTCTTAAAGAATTTTTATTCAAAAATCTATTTTAAAAAAAGTAAAAAAGTAATTGATATTAGTATTATATCATAGTTTTAATCTAGATACAGATGAAATAAATATTTGAATATCAATTAAATAAGCTATTTCAATAAAATTATAAAATAATTTTTAGAAAATAAATTTAAAAAAACTCTATTTATATAGTTTTTTTTTTAATATAGTTATTTCTTTTCTTAGTGCTTTCTTTAAATAATTTTCCCATTTACAGATTATTCATTTGCAGAATAATTATAAAATTGATTACTATATTATTGCTAGATAGTTAAAATTATTAATTAATTTTATTTTAATATTTTTATAGTATTAAGAAGTTTAAATAGAGCTTATTCTATATTATTATAGTTAATTTAAAAATTATTTTTTTAAAATTAATAATTACTTGCTTTACTTAATTTATAGATTATTTTATTTATTTTTTATAATTTTTATTTATATAAAAATACTTGATATGAATAAAATTATAAATAATAAAAAAAAGTATAAAAAATATTATAATTAGTATTATAAAAGAGTAAGAATATAGATATTATAAATATTATAAAGAAAAAAGAATAGCAATGAGTATAAACATAAATATAAAATTAAATAATAGATGTATATGATATAGTTCATTTCAATAACATTTTTTAAAATAGAATTTTTTATATATTTTTGCTGATATAAGCTCTATAATAAAATTAAATAAAATCATATATTTTATAGTTTTAAAAAAGTCTGGTAAAAACTATAAATATATAATATAGATTAGAAATCAAAATATCAATTAAGTAGTTTTTCTCTTTTCAAATATAAAATTGAACGCTTTTCCTTTTTAATAACAATATACAAATTCAAATTGTAGTAGAATAGTGCTTGCAAGCCTGAGCATAATTAAAATCTTCACTAAAGTGTTATCAAGTCATTTCAAAAGAAAATACCCTTAATATTATCCTAGACAACTGGTGGCTTAGTCGCCGAAGATTCAGATTCATTTAGTTTAAACATTGAGACTCTTCCAGAGTCCTGGATCACTTTTTTTCTCTGTCTTTTTTGGCTGGTTGGTGGGGAGGGACGGCTCGGATGAGTCAAGATATTCACAGGTGCAATCCTCCAGGATGCAGGTTACATCCATCTCTTATAGGAAACCAATAAGAGATCAAAACTCTCATTCGCACAAGATAAAATGAAGGAGAGAGCACACTCAATTCACCTATTATCCATTCACTTGGCTGCCGACACGTACGATACGTACCCATGTATCCAAGACATGCCCAGACTCCGTTCTAGATTTCCAAAAGCGATGGCTCTTCCAGACGACCGCTAGGCCCAAAAAAAGTGACATAGAAAAGAAGGTGCAAAAGTAAAGGCCACATGTGAATGCCCCTGCCAGAGAAAAAATACCCTTCGAGGCAAAAAAAAAGTTTTTAGATGAAATAGTGTAGATTAATTAAAGAACAGGTTTTAATTTGCACATGTCATCTCTTATCTCGTCCTTGAATTAGAAATACTTATAACAAGTATATCCGTTGCGCCAACATCGGTCAGCTGGTCCATGACAGTGGCGATGGAATTTTTCTCCACCATAGAACTCACCGCGACCCATCCGGCATCTTCGATAGGGGTCACCGTTGGCGCCCGTTTGCCGGGTGTGATCTCGCATGCAGCCGCTAGCAAGGGGCGGGGGACGTTGTATTGGCAGAGGACATATTTCTTAGCAGCTGGGACGGGAGTACAATTGTTTAGCTTATGCATGTGTAGGTGAGCTATGTTCGCGAGTAGACTTACTGATGACGCCGCGTATTCTGGATTCAATGAGCTCGACAAGCCCGTGAGTGGTTTTACGGGATTTGACAAGTACAGCTGTACTTTCGACAACGGTTCCTATGGCTTTTAGACCTGCTGCTTTCATTGTTTCCCCGGATTCTTAAGGAAAGAGCATTAGTATGGTTTAGATGGCACCATGCAATAGTCAAAGTAAATGCAATTCAAAAAATAATATACACACCAACTAAGTCTACAATGCCATCCGCGACGCCCAGTGCGCAAGCAGCCTCCACGCTGCCGCCAACATATTTGATTTTCGTACTTGAAGACTGTTTCCCCTCTAATTTTGCAAAGTACCCCTGTGTTAGCCCTGTGAAGCTGGTGACAACATGTTTCCCAACTAATTCCTTGGGATCCATTATGAGCCCCTTCTGTGGGACCTGGACTTGTAATTTGCAGCCACCAAATCCCAGATCAAGCATCTCTTCGACACCGGACACCTCGTCGGGCAGGAGGTTTGCATCATGTTCAGCCACTTGATCGCGGCCGGTGATGCCTAGGTCGACACGGCCCTCGCCAACAAAGGTGGGTATATCAGCTGCGGGGAGGAAAATGATGGCGATGGGGAGATTTTTGACAAGGGCGATGTCAAGGCGGGTTTCGCGGCGAAATTGGATGTCGGAGCCCGCCAAGAGGTCGATGGCAGCTTGCTGGAGGCGGCCCTCTGTAGGGAATTGTTAGACATGTTCTTTGGGTGTGTGTTTTTTCCTTTTTTCTTTTATTTCTTTTTTCTTTTCTTTTCTTCCCATCCCCTCCTTTTCTCCTGTTTCCTGCGTAATTTTGAAAAGGATCAATTGGGTCATCGGCGCTATTTGAGGGGTAGTGATTATATGGGGTCTTGACTTGCTTTTAGGAATTGCGAAGAGTAACCTTCCTTCTAGGCTTGCGTTTATATTAGAAAAATTTGGGCGTAATAAAGGGGCTCATAAGACAATGTACTTACTGATTGACAATATCCATCTTGTCGAATGGATGGATGTCTCTGGGGAAGGAGGAAGGTCGAGAGGTGGTTCCTGGCGGCGGTACAAGACAAATGTTCTGGTCAACGGATTTTTAAAAAAAATCGGAAGAAAATCCGAAATGGATTGGGCGGAAGATAATTGAAAGATAGGATAGTTAATATAAGGGAAGTAAAGCGAAAATATATGTATCGAGGAAATTAATTGAGGATAGCTATTAAAGTTAGCATAAGCACTAAGTACTGACAATGTTACAGGAGTTAAATACTCCGTGGTGTAAGTTATTATGAACTGGTCCGGCCTGAAATTCATTGAGTGATCAACGCAAAGTCAAAAAACCAAGCAAGTAGTTAACTTGTGTTAAATAAGAGCAGTCGGAACCATCTGTGCCAGCCCTTGTAGCAAAATACTTAGGGTAAATTTCTAAACTCGGCAAATTGATGGGATGCAAGGTCTTTTCAGTATCTAAAGCATATCTATAAACAACCGCTAATACTTGTGGTTCGCCATCCCCCAATTGCCAAGCATGCCCCCTTCCCAAAGTTGACAGGTTGTACCAAAAAGGAAATTAGGGCTCCAAATATAAGGTATTCCTTATTAAGACTAGCCTCATCGTTTTACGTGTAAACATTCCCTCTCAGTGTAATTCCTTTCTCCTCGGCAAAAGCTGCCTCCCACACAACCAATATAGATTCAGCAACATCCAACTTGCAACATCCCAACGACCTGAACAGCAAGAGAATTCAACTCCGTCGGCTCTTTTCGCATTCTCTCTCCGCCGTTGGACTCTCCACTACTCCGCTAGCATATCACATCGCCCATCATGGATACCTCCGGAAAAGTCCCCATCAAATTCGCTAAGGTGACTCGCGTTCTCGGCCGCACCGGTATGTCCTCTCTCTGCTAGATGAAAGTTCCTTGAAAATTCCTTTCCCTCCTCCTTTTCGTTGCTTGGAGATTATCTATGGCAGTCAGTTGTCTGTGTCGTTTGTGAAATTCAAATAAGACCGAATATCGAAAGAAAAGGAAGTTATTGAGGGGTTAAGATAGGACAGTTGGGACGGGCGGAATCTGGTTAAACGTAGAAACTTGCGACGCGCCGCAAGGGAAAAGCTTAGGAAAATATTTATGTATCTGACCTGTCCTCATTCTCGATTTATAGGTTCCCGAGGTGGTGTCACCCAGGTTCGCGTGGAGTTCATGGACGACACATCCAGAAGCATCATCCGAAACGTTAAGGGCCCAGGTATGCAGTGCATTGCAATATCCACCAGAAAGGAAGCTGATTATGTGGAATCTGATAAACTAACCTGTGTGCTTGCAAAACAATAGTAAAAGTCGATGATATCCTCTGTCTACTCGAGTCTGAGAGAGAAGCCCGCAGGTTGAGATAAGGTAGCCTTGCTGTAACTTTGGGCAAGAACCATTCGATCATTTTGTTATTATTTATTTTTTTTTTCTTTCGCCTTTTGTCCTTTCAAAAACTCGTTCTGGAAGTTTTCTGGAGTCCTATTTTCACCTTTACGATCGATGAACCGAAACTGGGATGGTGTGTGTGTATAGAGTGTGTAGTGAGACGGGTGGGATGATTGTGGTGGTTCAGCACCAAGTGTTGGGAGATGGTGGGCAATGTTTATCTACGATCTCGAAACACTCCTCAACTTCTTTTTGATGACAACATCGATTTGAAGGGTTCGGAATGAATGAAATTAAAGGCTGTAAAGTGGTAAACAAAAGGAAAGGCTTTCGGGAAAGTGGATTGACAGCTAAAACCAAGTGGAAATATTATGCTCTCTTTCTTTTTTCCTTGTTAAAGGCATGTCGCATTAGATTGAGTCAAGTGTCTAAAACATATAAACGAATCGACTCTGATTTGTTCCAATTTCCCTCAGTCCTTGCGTTTTGCCTTTTCCTCCTGCTCAACTTCATTTTCTGCCTTACAGCGAATAATATCCATTGTTGTATAGACGAAGCCCATAATCAAGATATTGAAACTATAAATTTGTCCCGTTACTTTAGTTACAATAATGGAAAGCTATAGAATTATAATAAGATTTTGGTCTGTCTACAAAGGGCTGATTTTAAAGGGCACATAGAGCTACAAAAAAGTATTGTTATGAAAGTGTAACTTTAACTTATACATCGGGCAAAGGCTTGTCCATTACCACAATATTAGTCAGAGTGGCATTCTTTAACATACAATACAAGCAAAAGTTCACAACTGCTCCAGGGCAACCAATATTCCTTCCAAAAGGGCAGAATCAACGGAGCCAGTCCCCGCACCAGCCGCACCGATCAGCCCCTTAACCACTTTAGCCAGTCCCAACACTTTCTTCTTCTTAATTTTCTCCTCTAATTCCGCAGATTTCGTCGCTGCCACATCTAGCACTGAGGACGGCACATTAGCTAACCTAGCTACATTTAGCCCATACGAGCGATGCGCCACACCCTCACCAACCACGTAAAGGAACGTAACATCCCTCCCATCCACACCAGACTCCATGAACTTCATATGCACATTCCGCAATTCTCCCTCTGGAAAATTGAGCGCTTGGCTACTCAGACTCTGATAATGGGTGATGAACAAAGTGAGACTTCGTAGATCGCGCACCATGTAATCCAGCACGGCCTGCGCAATAGCAACACCGTCATGTGTTGATGTGCCACGACCCAGTTCGTCAAGGATAACGAGTGAGCGTGGTGTTGCTTGCTTGAGAATATATGCCGTCTCAGACAGTTCGACCATAAATGTCGATTCTCCTGCTAACATGTTATCGAATGCGCCCATGCGAGTGTAGACGGCATCAAGCATGCCGAGTGTGGCAGAGTCAGCGGGCACGTACGAGCCAATTTGCCCCATGATAGTGATCAGAGCTACCTGTCGCACGTAGCTTGATTTTCCTCCCATGTTGGGACCCGTGACGAGAAGGGCGCGGGTCTCGTTAGTTTGCAGTTCTGTATCGTTGGGCACGAAGCTGTCTAACAGAACCTGTTCGACCATGGGATGGCGTCCCCGTTGGATGCTGATGCAAGTCTCGTCTGTGTATGTGGGTTTGACATAACCAGGCTGGCTCGCGACATTGGCCAGCGAGAGAAGGCAGTCAAGCGTCGCGAGCGCCTGAATACAATCGCGGAACTCCTGGTACTTTTTGGAGATGTCGGCAAGGAGTGCGAGAAATGCCTTATCGCATGCTGCGGCCAAGGCTTCCTTGAACTGCTCACGTTCTCGGATATACTGGACTACTTCTGGGGTGTGGAAGCGGGATACCTTCTTGGTGCCACTGATTTTACGCCAGGAGGCCGGTACCTTTTTAAGATTATAGGGGCTGTTCTCCACCTCGATCAAATATTCGATTCCTGCTACTGTGGCGTACTGCACCTTTTTCTTTCCCAGGATCTCCGCAGCAACAGCACAGTGTTCCTTGAGTCTATGCTCCACGTCTGCAATTCCAAGATTGGATTCTATAATTTCTTCCGTCTCTTCAGATTCTCGAAAAAAATTATACTTGTCGTCCTGTTTGGCGGCATGGGCATTTATCTTGTTGAGGTATGTCACGACATCCTCACGTATAGCAGGCAATGCTGCAATAACTGCATTGATCGTTGAGGACGAGAAACCCAAATCAGCAGGAGATTTGAGATGAAAAAATTCGTCCGAGATCAACTGCATTGTTTGCAAAACAGTGAGGAGTTCAGGCCGTGTGCACTTCAGAAGCGTGTTAGCTTTAGAATACAAACTGAACAGGCACTATTGTGCAAATCTCACCCTTCCATAGTATATCCGTATCAAACTCTTCTCCAAGTCAGCCTTTACCTTCGATAGGAGGCTTTTTAGCCGCTCAGTTGACACTGTACTGGCTGTATCTCGCAACTCTTCGATAGCAGCAATGCGCTCTTCAAGTTCGTTTTTGTTGAGCAAAGGCCTTCCAACCCATTTACGGAGTAAGCGTTGTCCAAATTTTGTTTTCGTCCGATCCAAGGTCCAAAATAGGCTTCCCTTTGACGTATGGTCTGTCTGGTTCTGATATATTTCCAAGTTCGTCAAGGTATTGCCATTTAACAGCATATGTGACCGGGCAGAAAACGGTTGAAAATACTTGGTCAGGTCGAATACATGCTCCAAACCATATTCAGACATGTAAATAATCATAGATGAAAGGCAAATAGTGACATCCTCCGGCAGCCTCAGGATTTTCTCTAGCAGATGAGTTGCTGTAACATCCCTGTCAGTCCCTCGGACTTTCATCCGACCGGCATAGAAGCTTGCGACGTGACTGTGAGATTCAACAGCAGCATTTTTCAGTTTTGAAACCCTCTCAACTCTCATTTTATCGCCGAAAATATTTGTTTTACTGCCTGATAAATGCTGCACCAGCTTTTCTGTAGCCTTCGACATCTCTCCCACAATTAGAAATTCACACGGTGCAATGTGCAACAGTCTCGTTTCGATTTCGCTCCTCATGAATCCATCTTCAAAATCGTCGTAGATAACATCTCCAGTGGCTGGTTGGACCGCTACGATTCCGACGTGGACTTTCTCGTCATTGCCCCAGCCTTTCGCGTTGCTCTCAGTCATACATAACAAGTAGCCTGTGGAGGTAGAAACACTACTCGAGTTACACCCAAGACCTTCTAGGTCCTCAATATCATCGATGTAGGTCCCCTTCGTATACAGGTTCGTAAGTTTGCGAACAAAAGGAGCATTTCTGTTGTCACCAGCAGCTTTCAGGGCGGCAGTTTCAAGCTGCCTAACCACACCAACTTTGTAGCCTGCTGCTACCAGCCGTTTAACATGGACATGTAATCTATGCACGGGAATACTCGCAGAGGCAAAGCGAGTCAAGTGAGCTTCGGACGGGTCTATCGGAAGAAAATTAACAGACCAGTTGATATCATTTCCTGGATCCCGTGGTGTTCACGAAAAAAATCGAAACAAAACGAGCAAAGACATCTAACTTACGGTCATCAAACCTGAACTTCCCAGGTATGCACACGATGCTTAACTCTTTCGCTGCCACGCGTGCGTCCTCACCAAAAAAACGAAACTTATACCCAACTTCCACGACAAGAACGGTATCCATATGCTTCTTCTTAATTTCGATGATTTGTCTCTCCATCGGTGTCAACTTGGTCGCGGGATTCTTCTTCGCCCCTTTCCCTTTCCGTGAAAGTGGGGGAACATCTTCATCAGCATCCGTATCACTTTCAGCGCCCTCCACAACCTCTCCCAGGGTCGCCAATGACGGAAGACAATCGGGTCCTCCCAACTTCTTCACAAATTTCTGATGCAAGGCCTGCTTCCTCATTCGTTCTATTTCATCATCCTCAGATTCTGCAACGGCGTCTCCACCTACATCCCCCCTTGGTTCGCTAGACGGTCGTACAGAGGAGCTATTAAACCTAAATTTCTCAGTTCGCGAAGTCCCAGATTTCATAGACCTCTTCATCATCCCTTCAATATCATCCACCATCTCTATATCCTTGGGTCCATGTCTTGCAGGTTCACCACTCCGTGTTCCCTTTTGGATGGCAGAAACATCGCTCTTACTCCTGACGCGTTTCCTGGATGGAAGCACAATCTCATCATCATCCTCCTCTTCAGCACAAATGTCTGTCCCATTACCAACACCCACAGGATTACCGTTTACCACCTCATTCTGCACATCCCTGTATACCTCCCTGGAGATTCCAACCGCTGAGCTCGAAAGGATATCTTTCTCTTCATTAGCAGTGGCTGAGGAGCCATTGGAAGCCGCAGGCTTCTTGGGAAAAAAGCTAGATATAGACTGCTGTTTACGTTTCATTTGCGAGGATTGTGGGGATGACATGGTCGTGCTGGGATGAGATCAGATGGGTTCGCCGCTGGTATTCAGGGTACATCCCATTTGAGAGAACAAAGAAGGTGGAAATCACAAAGTACGCAATCACAGATCCTATGCCTGGGTCAATATCAAAGCAGTACTATATGTAAGTGTGAGGATATGGACGTAGTCATACTCTACGTAATAAGTAACGTCTGATGCTTGGTTTGGAAAAAACACAGTAGGTTTATTTACTCCCCGTGGCGGCGCCAAGAAAGCGACGAAAATATTGTGTAAATTCCAAGAACACCAGCTAATTCAACACAACGTATATATCTACCTGCCTTCAAAAAAGAAGACTATCCCCAACAGGAGGTGAATGTATACTTCGAAGATGATATTGTGAAACTGACGCTCTAGTTCTTTATGTCGAGTTAGTAAAGCACTTACGAACCAAATCCCGAAGGTTTGACCGTTAGCGCTTGCGGTAAAATTGCTGTTTTGGGCCTAGATCATCAGAATCTTCATCAGGTAGTTATATAAATCTCCCAGTATTTCGAAAAAGGTCAGAAAAGGAGTAACAAGATGAACCAAATAATAGATTCTTCACCTGATAAAGCGATATTTTGATCTGCCTCTGAATAGTTCCATTTGAATTTGACCATTAGATTCAACAGCTGGCTGGTTAGTTAATGCGACTCACCACACAACAAGTTAAACTACTCAAAAAGCTATGCTTTTAATTCAATACACTCATATACATTCATCTTCAATGCATTCAAATGCCAAGTCAACAAGGCTCAAACTAAGCTTGCAATTGACGATCTAAGAGCTCAAATATCAAAAATTATACTACTACTGCTAAAAAATATTCAATTATTAAGAAAATATTATACTGATATTATAATAATATTCAAATTTCTTACAATAAAGCTATTATTAAATATAGAAAAGTTTATAAATATTTCAGAAGAATAACTATTGTTTTTTTATAAACAACTTACTATTTATATTTTTACTGTTATATTATAAATAATTCAAAGTGTTAAAGAGTGAATACAAGCTGTATAAAAAATATTTTCTATATTACTAATTGTTATATAATAAAATATTAAACTTGATTGAAGAAATGAGATATTAAAATCTACATGAATTATGATCAATTTATAAGATTATCTGATAAGAGATGAATTGAATTCTGATATTTTAAGATTATATACTAATCTTAGCATTAAGATCACAGAGTATATGTGATGTCAAGACTTTTTATAATAGCTTCCTACTATTATACTGCTTATTACACTGCTTATTAAAGTATTTTAAAATCAGCATCTTCTCATACTACTTATCAAAGTATTTTATAATCAATATCTTTTATAGAATTAGTATAAATCAATATTTTTCAAAAATCAATTCTTTAAAATCAATACTTTTTGAAGAATAGAATCAGTATTTTATAAAAAATTAGATCATTATATAACTAATTTTTTATTTTATGAAAAATTATAAATAAAATCTATGACTACTTATTTATATATATAAATACTTTAAATTCTCGAAGTTTTTTTAAAAAAATCAATGATTAGCTATTATTTAATTTTATATATATATTTCATTCATCACTATTATTTTTTTTTATAATACTTGCTGTATTTATATATCTACTCTTTTATAATTTTGATTATAGAGATTTTTATACTTTTTTTGATATTTATTTAATTCATTTTCAGTGTTTTTACAGTTTCTAATCACTATAATAGAAATTATCTATTAAGTCTATAATAATAAATTCAAAATATAATCTATAAATTAATATCTTATATATAATATTTAATTAAGAAGTATATATAAAAAAAATTCTCTATAAGTAATTATCAAATTTAACTTCAAAAAAAAATATTTAAGCATTTCATATATCAATTGATAAAGAAATTTAAAGAATTTAATAAGAAAATAATATTAAAATATATATAAAAAAAAATTTTGAACTATAACAGCAAGTCAATACTTATAATATAGAACTGTCTAAATAATAATATAGCTGTCAATCTCATATATAAATAGAGCTTTTCTCAAATTAATCTCTTAGAAATTATTTTAGTATTTAATAAAATAGCTTATTTAGTTGACAATTAAATATCTGTTTATTTGCACATAGATTGAAGCTGTGATATAATATCAAGATAAAATACTTTTTTTATTCTTTCTAAAGTAGATTTTTAAATGAAAAATCTTTGAAAATTCTTATCTACTTTTCTTTTTGAATCTCTAAAAAGATTGCTAAAGATGTTAGAAATAGTTAGAGAGTCTGATAGTTTATAAAAATCAGACTGAGATATGATAATTTTAATTGAGTGAAATATAAAGTCAGAGAATTCAATATTAAAAAAATAATTTTTTATGACAATTGAAGAGAATTCAGATCAAATATATCAAGAGATTACTGATCTAATAAATAAGATAAAAGATATTTTAAAAAGAGTTAGAGCAGAATAAAATGAGTAAGAAAAGTAAATAAATAAACTTGATTAGTAAGTGAACAGCTTGATAAAGAAATAAAACATCTTACAGTAAATTATAAATTATTTAATCTCTTAAATTAGACTGATAAACACTCAATAAATGCAATAATTAATTAAACTTAATGATTCTAAATATCTCATCAATGAGAAAGAATTGATATTTGAAAACTGACTTTTTCAAATAAAACACAAGTTAGCTATTAATGCAGATTACTTTTTAAGTAAAAAAAGCTGTATTATCTATATTGAAAACTAAACTGATGATAAAGCTATTAAATATTTAATCTTAAAAATAAAGTAAAATTATTTTGAGAAATTTAAAACAGCTGAGAGAGTGTTTAAGTATCTATAGAAAATATATAAAAATATTAATAAGCTTAAAAATATAAAAAATAAATACTGATAACTAATAATAAGAAATAAAGATAATTACTATATATTTATAATCAAGTTTCTGCATCTGACTAATGAAGTTTGAGTTTATAAGAAAGATTATAAAATAGATTTTCTATATAAGATTTTCTTTAATCTTCAATGTATAATTGCAGCAGTCTGTATCAATTACAGCATTTTTCATAAGATTTAAAAAAATATATATTAAAGTAGCTTATTATTTTAAAGATATATTTAGTCAAAGCAAATGATAACTACTTAATTATAAAAAAACTTCTACAATTTGAATCAATCATGAGAAAACTTTTTCAACTTAAAACTATAAATTAACTTTAATCATACTAACATATATAACTGAGAATATACTGAAGAATGAAGATTAAAAAAATATATAAAATGCTTTAATTATCAAAGTAAAGATTATATAACATAAAATTACTTATGAAAGTAAAATATAAAACTGAATAAAGTAAATACTGAAACTATTATCATCAAATGAGAAAAAAATTAAATTTAAGAGAAGACTTCTTCTTAAATAAAATAATTGTACTAGAAACTTTGAATATAAATCAGTTGATAAGTGAAAATTCTTTTACTATATATATCAAAGTAGCTTTTAATGAATATGCTATTTCTATAATAGCAATAGTGAATTTTAAAATAAATTACTATATTTTTATCAGTGCAAATTTTACATACAGATATATAATAGTCTAGAGA